GTAAAGTTCTTGTCAGTTTCTAAAGTAGTATCCTGCTGCTAAGCCATACCTCACTCAAATTTTTCTGATCCCAGTGTTGGTGCATACTTCAACCTTCAACATATTTGACCATGGAACCCAAGCTAAGGTTCTACCCATGTAGGCATGACTTGAGGCTGTACCTGCCCAGGGCAGTGACCACCTCACAGCATTTCAGGAAGACACATTTCCTGGGCAACAAGCCACTATGCTGCACGCTTACTACTGTTCCTTTGGCAAGAACAAAGAGGAAAAGGATTATCTAGTCATACTTGCTTTGTGATCCAAGGACATCCAGAACACTAGAGAAATAGAAAAAGTGTCTCAAGAACATCACAATTTACATAATTCCACCATCAGTAAACACGCTGGATTTTATTCCCACCTTCTAGAAAAAGTGAGAACAATTTGCACCTGAACATACCCAGGCATTCCTCTTATAAGCAAGAGCTGGAAGCACCTCAGCATATTGCTATATTCTGTAACATTGCACAAGTCAACAGTACATCTGCATCCAGTTGGTTCTCAATGCTCAATGCCAGCCTGGATGGAGCTTTGAGCACCCTGATGTACTGGGAGTTGTCCTACCCATCTCAGGGGGGTTGGAACTAGATTATAATCTTTAAGGACCCTACTGACCCAAATCAGCCTATTTAATTCTTGGCTTTAGAGGAACTTCTTTCCAAAGAACCAAAATCAACAGTACCCTCCTGATCATGTATCTTGTTAATTAGACCAAATTCAGATTTGTGCAGAACAAACTGCAACCAACATTGTCTGGTTTCATTTTAAACTCACAGAGACTAAGTGAATATGATCAGAAAAACCTGTATTAATGAACACCACCATCTATAACCATTCAGTACTACTGATTAGTAACCAACATTACAGCATGGAGGGGCCCCATTCTACAATAGCTAGCTTCACAGTCTCAAGGTCTGATTTAACAGCTGACTTAATTGATCAAAGTGCAAAATGTTGCTGGAGGTTCAGTCCTGTTCTCTACTTGAGTCCAAACAATCCTGCTTCTTCCTTCATTCTGGACCTTCCATTCTTGTTGCCTCGCTTGGACCAGATCAGAGAACCAACCTGAATGAAAACTAACCTGGTGCTCATGTAGATTAAAAAACAGTAAACAAACAACAGTTCCTTGATCCACTGCATAGAATGAAAAAGCATTTCTGCCAACAAGCCGGTGCCATGCCTCCTCCATGCATTGGAAGTCGAGGAAGATACAGACTAGCTGCCAAACTGCACTCACAGTCATTGCAAGGAGGCTGGTGCCCAGGCACAGCTGGAGAAGGCAAGCAATTGTCCTTCTCTTCATGGGGAATACATAAATTTCTTCGGTGTTTTTTTTCAAATCCCTGTTTCTGCAGTGTGAAGGTGCCTTCCAAAGTATTTTTCTCATCCACGCCTCTTCCTCAAACACAGTGCGCTGACCTCCCTCACTTTGTACAGAATCCAGGTCCCTCTACATCCAGATATCAAGGACAAGGACTGCTACAGTTCCCTCAGCCAGCTTCAAAAGGGTCAGGATATTTTTAGCAATGAGATAAGAGGTAATAAACCAGAATTATTTCTGATTTTTTTTTCTAATCTACATTATTTCTAACTTATTTCCTAATCAATACTGCAAAGACCAGAACTGGGCTCTTTATGTTCTCATTGATAGGATCCACCACAGCTTTAATGCAAAGTTGAATGCAGCAGAAGCACCACACCTTTAAGGGCCACACACAACACAATCTACTCCAGATAACTGGTATTAAGGCAGGAGATGCATCATCTCTCAAAACAATGTGGCAGTATTCTGAAAGTAACAGAGTACAGCCTGGCACCATACCATTAAATATTAACACAAGTGAGTCAACTCAAGTCTAAAGCTGTAAAATATTGTAACACCTGATACATTATCATTTTGAGAGGAAAGGCGTATGTTAAAAAAAAAAAATCCAGATTTTATTTTACTGTTTGAAACACAATGTTTTTGTATCCAAACCTAAGCTTACCACATTTCCAGTTCTTTGGAACAATTCAGTCATTTGAATTTGAACTGGATCACTTCCATGCCTTCGGAAAAAAGCAATCAATTAAAAAAACCACAAAAACATAAAAACCAAACAACCTCAGCCCACATACAATATACCTGATACAAATAGTTTCTTTCTGTACATTCGGATAATTTGAAGCTGACTTCAAATTTGAAGTAGAAACAGGAGTAAGAGATTATTTGAAGAACAGATTAGCTGTTACCTGGCTTTAGATAAACTTATAAACACAGCATTTATAATAAAGAAAACAAAAAAGCAACGCATCATGTTTTCTACAGCTGAGATCCCGTATGAGGTTTCAGTATGAACAAACTGGCACAACCAACAGGCTCTCACTGTTAATTACCTACTTATTTTGGATGATATTTGGTTCTCAGCAACCTGTAACATTATATCCCCTACACAATGAAGTTAAGTGCCTATATTTATCTGCTCACGATATGGAAATTTATTGTCGTTGTCTACTTATTACTCCGCAGAAAGGGCTAACCCCCACTCACTTCAGACTTACTTTTGTTGAAATGAAGTTACCCAGGAAGCAGAAAGAGTTGCCATGGTTATAAAACCAATTTAATGGAGGCTGCTGCAAAATCTCCACTAATTAATCTATTTACAGTAAAAACATTTCTCCTCTCATTAAACACAATCTCTATCATTCCTATTACACAACAGAAAAAATTTGTCTGCTCTTCACTTCTTGTATATGCCTTGCTTCAGCAAGAAATTCACCAGCACAGAACCTTGCTTTTTTTCTTCTTTATGTTTCATGATAGAATTCAAAATAAGAATGATTACAAGGATTTCACAATTTGTGCTCAGTTTGAGCGTACAAGTGATGGTCTATCTATAATACTGGGTATAACTTGATCCTGAAAAAGCAATACAGATTTATCTTGTATACAAATAAAATCTAATTCAGAATATAAATTTAGAATCCATTTTCAGTTCTGAAATCTAGACTGTGAAGTTGTTTCAGAAATGCTTGTATTCAATGTTTTCTATGACTGTATTGATTCAATGAAATGGTCCATGTATAATCTCAGCAATAAAGGAAACCTTAATGTATAGGATATAACAGGACACAAACTTGTGAAACAGAGAATGTGTTCCAATTCTGCTCTTCATAGAATCAAAGAATCACAGAATTGTAGGGGTTGGAAGGGACCTCAAGAGACCATCAAACCTAACACCCCACTACAGCAGCTCCCTACAACAGGTCACACAGGTCGGCATCCAGATGGGTCTTGAATATCTCCACACAAGGAGACTCCACAACCTCTCTGGAAACAAGCTGCATGCTGTCCATAAGGATGAGCACTCCAGGGCTCTGTGAAGCCAGATGCTGACACAGGCACTACAAGGTCAAGCCACCAGCAATTTGAGAAGTGGTGGGCGAAAGCATGCACTTAGTTGCATGAAGAAAGATTTCAGTAAGACAGCTCAATTCTGCCTTTCTTCTCCAATAAAGCTTCCCACAGAACTCAGTGGGAACTGACACACATGGAGGATATGTAACTACATCTTTAACATGCAACTAAAAATTAAATATTTCACTTCTTCTGAAAAACAAAAAAAAAAATCTCCAAATTGTGAGTTCAAGACATCCCAAATTGGTGTTTCTTTTAGCATTTCTTGACTCTAGCTATCAAAGGAGCTTATTGTAGAAGAAAATTATCTTCAGCCATGAAAATCTCCCTTTTGAACAGAATCAAATAAAAGGAAGTTAAACGAAGAGGAAATGAAGTGTAAATATGGACTACGATCTCTTAACAAACACGTCCTCAGTGAAACTAGCACAGGAGAGGGACTAGCCAGCTGGAAGCATGGTTGTTGTTATGAGTACAATAAGCATAATGCATTAAACAGCTCAGTCTCACAGCAAATGTACTAAAATGAATGTGTTACATATTAACCTTTTTATTGGCAGTCAAAAGCTGTACAGAATCACCTTGAAGGATACTTATAAATTGAGAGCTATGATCCATGGCAATTCTTAAATTTGAATAAATTCAAAAGCATATGGGACATGAATCCAGGGTTATTTGGTTCTAACATGCCTTCCAGCCCACTTCTCTTATTCCTCATTAGCATATTTTGCCATTCTGTATTCACAGTGATATCAGTGTGCGACTTAAAATACCACCTGTGCCAAGCTACATCTGTCACAAGCTCTTATCTGAACAGAAACACCAGGAAGAAAACAAAGGTCAAAAAAGATATGAGGGAAACTGTATGTTATCTGTCCTGAGAGCAGGGGTGGAAGTAGATGGGACTGGGATAGGAAAACACTGTGAAAGAGAAGCCTCTGGTACCCAGTTTCCTCTTGTCTACTTTCACATGGCTCGCCACACAGCTAAGCCACCAGAACCAAAAGAAGTCAATGAAAAGAAAACCAAACTAATTTATTCTGTGTTGAAGTTGTGGACAGTGGTGTAACAACAGCTTTTACTTTGTGCCCACACAGCCCCAGTATGCCCTGCTCCTGTGTAGAGAAGAGCTGACTGGTTTGAATCACCAGTGAAAAGGAATGGGGTCAGTTTCTTCTGTATGTCTACCTTGATTCTTTCCTTCAGAGCTGGAAGGCCTCCTGTGTTCTCCAAGGGAAACTGTACTGATATGATCACTCGTGGCAGTGAAGTTTGGAGCTATGCAAAAGGAGACATCTCTCAACTCATTTTCCATTGCTCTCTCTCCAAAGAAAAGGGATTTACTTGGTCCACAGTCAATCAGTGTCTCTCCAGTCCTCAGTGGAATGGCACATTAGAAAAGGAAACAGAACACTGTGCTGTTTGTGCCAAATGACTCTTTGGGTGGATTTTATGCAAGGCATTCCTCCAGTATATCTCCTGCTTGCAATTATTGTGTCCCCATATTGATGACACACATAGTGAGTCACTCACCTGGACTCCTACACCCAGATGTGAAGTCCTAAGTATAGGAGAGACACAGACCTGTTGGAGTGTGTCCAGAGATGGCCTTCAGAGGAGTGGAGTGTCCAGAGAAGTGTCACAAAAACGAACCAACCGAGGATGGAACACCTTCCTACAACTACAGGCTGAGTGCTAGGGCTGTGCAGCCTGGAGAAGAGAAGGCTCCAAGGTGACTTGATAGCAACCTGTATCTAAAAGGGAGTGATAGGAAAGAAGGGGGACAGACTCTTTAGCAGGGTCTGTGGTGACAGAACAAGGGGAAATGGTTTCAAGTTAAAGAGCGTAGATTTAGGTTGGATATAAGGAAAAACTTTTTTACACTGAGAGTGGTGAGGCACAGGAACGTTGCCCAGTGACATGCTTGATGCCCCATCCCTGGAGACTTTCGAGGCAAGGCTGGATCAGGCTCTGGGCAACCTGATCTAGCTGTGGTGTCCCTATGCATTGCAGACCAGTTGGACTAGATGGCCTTCAGAGGTCCTGAAGGACCTCTAAGGATTCTACGATTCTAAATCACACAGGTTTACACATACATAGAAACAGACAAAAATACAAATTTATATGCAGCAGCAGAGGCTCAAACAGGCCTTTTTTCAGTTATGCATAGCATAAATGTAATAGTACCTGCAAATACATAGCAAAATCCTGCCTGCTTTAACTGCAAGCAGGACTAGAATTTCTAACAAAAGCTTAGGTAGCTGAACTATATTTAAGATAAGAAAGCAGCTATACAAATCACAAGAGCAAGATCTCATTATCATGGGTCACTGACGCAAGAAGAACTGATCACGACACCTTATCTACAGTTAAAAATCAATAGATAAATCAAAAACACGTACTAGATGGTATCCACCTATCTGATCAAAATAAAATGTAATTACAAAGATTAGTAAGAAACTCATGGCAATAACAACAAAAAAGGAACTTCTTGCAAGAATAGTACTGATGGCATCTCAGCTGGCCAGCCTATGTATGGAGACAAGGATGGTTAACTAATGTATGATGCAGACGGGACAATCTACTCTACTTTTTGGGTTAACATAAAAAATACATTTGTTTCTGTTTCAGGATCACTGTTTCCAAGTCTTATACATTTGCATTTACAGCCACCATGCACTGCACATTTTTATACAAACAAGGTAAATAGCCGTATTTACATTTATCCTTCACATTTGTCGAGTTCTCTGTTCCAGTGCTTTCTCAGTCTCCATGTAGGTGGTGAATTGTTGTTTGTCAGTGCTTTAAGAAGCCAGGCAAAGAATAGATAAGCTACTGCTCACATCCTCCTGAAACTAGCAAAACTTTCCGAGTAAATTTTCATTTCTATTATTTTCCATAGGACACCCCATGGAGTCTATATGACTTGGAAGATGATGAAAGGAGAAGCTCTCTCACAGGATGTTGGAAAGGAGTGCCTTTGACTTCACAATTGCTAGGAAAATGTTGAACACAAGGGCTAAAAATTCAAAGACTGACTCCACCCCAGTTACTGTTCCTCATAGTCTCCACAATATTGTTGCTGATGCATGACAATGAGTTCACTGGACCTAATCTCAGATAGAAGGCTGAGATTAGAAAGAACGTAGGCTAAGACGGAAGGGAAGAACCCCTTTGAGGAATGGAGTGTGCGAGTCACTCTGGTTTTCAATGGAAAAAGACTTAGGTCAATATAAGTGTTCTTTTCCAGCTCCCTTAAGCCATCCCAAGTGCCAAGCTTAAATTTTCACATGAAGGTTGGTCGTAGTTTAAAAAAGCCATATAAAAATAAAAATTAAAATGAATAAAAATAAAAATATAATTGAACAGAGAAATCTGGCCAGCTGGTGAGTGGAGTAAGAGAGAAAAAGAGCAGGACAGCTGCCCAGGTCATAGCTTGGAAGCTGCTAAGGATCTGGTAGAAGCCACTTACTGTATGTTGGGATGGTAAGGTGCTGCAGACAATACAGTTTAAGCCTTTTCCCCTTACTACAAGCCAGAATTCACAACTGGAAGGGAAAAAAAAAAAAGAAAAAAAAAGCCATTCTAGTGTGATTGTGATAAGGAAATCAACTAAGCAGTCAGATTTATGTTCCAGCTACAGTAAATATTTTCCTTATGTCTGTTACTGAGTCCACTGTAATACATCATAGCTGGAAGCCAAATTGCAGAAGCTCTCTACCCATTAGGAACATCATAAAAGTCTGTTTAACTTACTGGGTGAAAAATTGAGTGTTCAGATTCTGAATATCTTTATTGTAGAGGCAATAGGAGGCTGCAGAAAGACATGAAAACTGCCACACTGGCCTAGTTCAGACACCTTGCTGACCACCACATGTAGACTGCTGTCTGTTATTCAGGGACTTTTCATTTGTTCCTCTGTCTGCTATTCTGTTGTACAACGGCTGCCTTTTTTTTTTTTTTAAGAAAATTTTACAATAAAGCATAAACCTTTCAAAATGGACTTCAATGGAAAATTTCTTAACTAGTAAAATATAAGATGTGCTCTGTGATAACTCCGCTATCTGTGTAAGTAACATGCAAGTTATCTTGCTGTATCTCTGCCTCTGCTGCACGTGTACTGCACAGTCTACAGTTCCTTGTGTACTGAAGTGCAAAACATCCGTGCTCACCTTAAACAAGCTAGTTCGTTCCATCTTTTTTTCTACAGATCCACCACCAAGAGACTGCTGTCTCTCATTCCACTGCAATTGAAGGACTGTTCTGTATTTATAAATGAGTATTTCAACTTTGTGTAAGCTACTTTACCTATTATTTCAGTTACAGAACCAAGATATGTAAAAGGTCTTTGGACCATCAGCTAGTTAACAACAACAATAACAAAACAAAAAAACCCAAACTAAAACATCAACAAAACCCCACCACTCCTTATTCTCTAATAAGGAGACACACATACTTAACAGAAATTTGGCTCCTTTGAGGCTATTGATTCGGGTCTGTGTTAAAGGCAGAATGCCAAATGAGAAGTGCCACTGAACTGAGCTTCATGACAGATTTCATACACCCGTTAAAAACACTGTTGTCCAATACAGAACTGTTAACAGAATTCCACGTGCTGTAGTGGAATGCACATAGCTAAATGTTTGATAAAAACTTCACCTCTCCTTCCTCTGTGTGATTTGTGAACAGCCTCATATTTTATCTCACTCCAGAAAGCAGTTGGCTGCTGCAGCTGCCCTTAAAGAGCATCAAGGATTGTTTCCACAATTTTTTCAAGGCACTGAGATTATTTTTAATTAAAGCAATAAAAAAAGATATCAGGAATATATGATTACCAGTTAACCAGTTAAAGACAGCCCTTAGTATTTGCCTGGTTGATTCCCAATATCTAGAAGGGGCACTTCAAAAAAATAAGATTTTTCTGTAGAATTACTCAAGGCCAAGTTGGTGCACAGTAAATAAATGAGCTGTTATTTCACCTACAAAGACTAAATCATAGTGTGATGTTTTTCTTAGTCTGAGACCTGTCTTCATGAATTAAACATGAAGCTCCAAAGTCAAGCACTGTCTGATATGAAAATGGGTTTCATGGTTTCATATTTCAATCAACAAACCTTTATCCTTTCTGCCTGAAATTAGTCAGAACTGGGCTAATGAAAACAACAGGAGTATACCTAGTGTCACATCTAAATTAGTAATAATTATTTTTTCTTAAGTTTGATACTTATTTTACAGCAAAAACCTGAACTTGCTATCTGCCAGAGGCAGTATCTATCTGCCACCAATAGTAGCACTTTCACAATTTAACTACCTTCTAATTGCAGATTAGAACTGCACACACAGTGAAATCCAATTCAAAAATACAGTTCTCTAAAAACACGAGATCCATCTCTCTGGTAAACTGCTTTGTGTCTTTTTTTTTTTCCTCTTTTTGTCTTTTTTGGCAAAGAAAGATGAAGCTGACAAGCCAGCCTTCAGTTCCAACTATGTTTCTTCAGCATTAGCGACGGCTCGAACTGTCCCTGCCCCTGCTCCACCACCTCCTTGTACTGGCAGAGATGTCCATGCGCCTGGTGAGGAACCAGATCAGGGCACTGCTCTGCAGGGAGTTGGATTTTTTTCAGCTGGACATTTCTGTAACGATAGCGACCGATTAAGCCAGCTTATTCAGCGCTGCTACTTCATCTGAAGCTACAGCTTCAGCTTGAGATGGCTTTGGACAGTTCAAGATGATATTCTTCATCACAGCACAAGTTGTGCAGGACAAAAAGCCATGCCTAAGCACCCAGTACGTCTTAAAGAGCTGCAGGGCCTGCTTTAACACAGCTGTCTGCTTGAATAAAATGCTGCATGCTAAGTCACCAGAGGCTCAGCTTGAGCTCAGAGTTTGCTTGCCACATGCAACACAATTTTAAATGCAAATTTTGGCTGAGCACAGATGAAATGTCCGGCTTCGAGGGAACATAAAATGGCAGGACATGTGATGTGAGTCCACTGAAACTTCTCTGATCCTTATCTTTTGTTCATCGATATTGGCTGCAAAGCTCTGTTTTTGTATTAATTCAGTATATACATATAGCAAATCTGCAAGCTATCTGACCATTTCAAAATATCAAATGTGTAGCTCAGCCTTCTCAAAGAAAAGCAAATTCATGGAACTTTTCTACTGCATACAGCTATTGTTAACGCAAGCTGATTCATTATGTGCTTATTTTCACCTACAAAAAAACACTCTACAGAGTGAAGGACTGTGTATTCCAAGAGTGATGATCTTGGACTAAACAGAATTTCTATCCATAACCTGAGCCCAGATAACTGAGGGCTTAAACATCATTCACATTAGTAAAATATTAACAGAGGTTACCGGTTGTCATAGTAAAATGAGTGGTTGCACTGAACGTAATTTCATTTATGGAGGTTCAGAAAATTGACATCATGGCTGTGAGAACATATAAATAATGCACGCTGTTGTTCAGATCAGCTGCAGCAACGTCTCTGAAGGGAGTATTCTACGGGCTGAGTTCCTCTAGAGGCACTGCAGAAACCAGATTTTGTAAGATAGATTGAGAAGCTCCTCTTCAGAAAACACTTCTGAGAACATCTGAGAGATTTTTCCTCTGTCTTTCATTGTGCTTGCAATTTCTTTTAAAAAACATGTGCACTGGAAGCTGTGCTAAGTGCCTGGGAATCACACTTATCCCTTTGGCTGTGCTGTGCACACTCGCTAACATTTTACTGTTTTTCCCTGGAGGAAAAGTGGCTGAAAACAATGACCACATTACAGACGAGGTTTGGTACTTCGGAGGGATACTGGGATCCGGCGTGTTGGTGAGTACATCAATTCGGACGTTCCCACCTTTCTTCCCCCACCTCAACCAAGACTTTTTGAAGTCTCTGCATTGTTGAATTTTCTCAGTAGCACAAATGCAGTCTCTGACACTGCAAATTCTTCTTTGATAAATAAGTTGAAAGTCATGAAATAGTTTGGGGAAAAGAAATCTAACTCAGAGGTGAGAAAACAAAGATGTGGAATTACTGAATTTAAAAGCAAATGTAACTTGAATTTATTCCAATTCAAACTGAATTTCTGTTATTGGCAGATGATCTTTCCTGCCTTGGTGTTTTTGGGCCTTAAGAACAATGATTGCTGTGGATGCTGTGGTAATGAGAGCTGTGGAAAGAGGTTTGCGGTAAGTGAGAGGAAATGTAGCAAAAATGTAAGAGCTATATTATGATCAACAAAATACATGTTTCTTCTGTTCATAATCATGGAGGGACAGACAGACACTGCCCAGACTGTGACACACAAAGCAGGCATAGACAGCAGGTTGTCAGAGGTGTGCTGCACCTCCGATGTGCTACGGATACACACCGGTACTGCCTCTTATAGCAATAACAGCACTGCTGCAATCACAAGTAAAGTGAATTATGGAGAGTTCTGCATTTCATTTGGCACAGCGTGACAGTTCTCTCTTCCATTTTTTGCTGGGAGTTTCAAAAATTATTTTGATAGTTGTGCATTGTGTTCCCAGCTCGTTGCAGACCCATGCAAGGGGCTGTGAATATCTGAATGGGTTCACAGAAAACTTCAGGTTGGAAAAGACCTCGGGAAGTCACTCGACCCAACCTTCTGTTTGGAGCAGTCAGCTCTAAACCTCTAGCTCTAAACCTCAAAGCTCTAAACGGGCTCTGGTCTGAACTTACAGCTTTCTCTAAGGCACTGCTGAAAAGTCTCAAACAGGTACCTCCAGATGCCAGTAGACTTCTCAAGCGCTTTAGTTTAAAAGTCAGAGTAGATAAAAAATAGGAATATTTCTATTAGGAAAGCGTATCCTTCTGAAACAAACTGTTGGCATACGGAGATCATTACACTGCTTTACAACAAAACAGATTTTCAATTGGAAAAAAAAAAGAGAGAGTGAGAGAGGAAAAGAGCAATGGCTGAGCCCCACAAGGAGCCTCCCGTGACCCCCTGTGAGGCCGTGTTCCCGCAGTCCCAGTAGCGCAAGGAAAAGATGGAGTCTCACTGCCAGCAGTGAACATGGCTTAGCTTAGCTTTCGAGACTACAAAGAATGCAGGATCTAACAAACTATAAAATATTCTGCTGCCAGGCTTCCACTCACACCTCCACAATTCAGTTGAACTCAGAGCATGTCTATATGAGGAGAGGTGAGCAGCTGTGAGTGCTCTGCCCATTCTCAGGCAGGTGCACCCAAGCTAAGGTATATGTGAGGATGGCGCTTTCCCTACAGCAATGTCCACCCTGCAGTGCTGCCCTTCACAAATCATGTCAGCGTAATGCCTGGACGAAAGACTGGGACTGCTACTGCAGCCACCACGCTGAATTAAGAGTCCTGGCGGGCTTACCACAGCGTGACTGACAACCGAATCTGCTCTCATATTTTAACAGAAGCATCATTACCTCGATGTCTGCTACATTACTGTAATTTTTAAGTTAGCCCCCATCAGATATCTAAACACAAAAATGTATGTCTGTCAGTGTCCAGCAGGCATTTGGACAACAACCTGGACTTTCAGTCAGCTCCGAAAGGGCCGGGCAGTTGGATCAGATCATCTTTGAAGGTCCCTTCCAACAGAGCTGTTTCGTCCTACCAGAGCGCTCACACAAGAGCACTGTGATGAGCTCTATATACAACACTCACAGACCTGAAAATGCTTTTTCTTTTTTTTCCCCTCCACCTACATCAGAGCCATGGCACAGGCTTCCCAGAGAGGTGAGGAAGGAATCTCCTTTTCTGGAGTTATCCAAACCCAGTGGGACGCATTCCTGAGCAACTGCTGCAGGGAACTGCTGTGGGGAGCGGGACTGGCAGAGCCCCAGAGGCCGCTTCTGACCTCTATGGCTCTGTGATTCTGCGATCCTTTCACTGCAATCCAATAAAAGATATTCCCTCTACCTGCAAACTATTATGACTACCTCTGTCTACAAAGAAATAACATTGGACGTTCTTAAAGTTCTAACACAGCATTAGTTTTTGAAAGATTTACTTACATATTACTGTACGTGAAAATCTTGTAATGGAAAGTCAGGAAAATAAGGACATCCTTCTATCAATCCCACCTGCACTGCTAGAGCTAATGATGACAAGCACATGGGAGAAGATATCCATAATAACATGAAATGTGAAAGGGAGACTAGGGAAGGAAAAACAAAATTACTTGGCCCAAATACGACCAAAATACCAAAGTTAACCTGGACAGGGTACTGTAGATTTTATTAATGCCACAAGGGGTCCAAGACTTCATAATCTTTTGTGAAAGATCCACCTTGGTGAAACACTGTGCCTTGAACAGCCATTTATTGGATACATACTGCCCAAGTGGGAAGAGTGCCATCTGCTGTGACTGTACCAGATCCTTCAATCCTCAGGCAAATTCTTTTAAACCTTCTACATAGAAGTGCAGCTATGCAATATACATCGACCATGCAACTGCAAACTGATAGATTTTAGCAATTCTGCAGCTGACATTTTTGACTGTTAAGAGCTGAGCTTAGGGAATGTACATTCACATGAATAGGGTGCATTTCAACATCTGAATGACAACTAAAATAATGTCATTTCTCTTCGTCAGATGTTTTCCTCTATAATATTTGCTGCTATTGGAGTTGTGGGAGCTGGATACTGCTTTATTGTGTCAGCAGTAGCCATAAACAAAGGCCCGAAATGCAACGATGGATTACAGTGGCTCTATCCCTTCAAGGAAGGGTAAGTCAAGACAATCAGAACAAAGAAAAGAAAAAGAACAAGATATATGTTTTAAATTCGCGATATTTATGGTTACATATCCAAATCTCTTGTTTAGCAGTTGGGATTATACTACTTGTCTAAAACAAAGGTGTTCTTCAAAGGCTGAGCAACGCACAACAACACTAATTAAGAAGCAGGAGCAGTATATAAAGAATAAGAGAACCAATCAAAACTACTGAGTTTCAAGGGAGCCAACAAAGAGAAATGAATGCACAACCCTTCAGTTTCTTCTTGGGATTATAAGCAATATTCAGGGATAAGTTACACCTACATTAACAGCAGAGACGTCTCTTCTTGAAATATGAGGTTTTCCAAATAATTAGTACTTCATTTTATCTTAGTCATGCAATTTGTCCCACTACAATGAGAACGTGTGGGCTTCTCCTTTGCGTTCTCCACTTCCAGAGAGGACAAAATGCAATGCTATCATGCTGTAACAGAACAAATCCCAGGGTTTCTGCCAAGGGAGAGTTAGAGACAGTGCTGTACCTCGGGGGAACCCCACGGCTCTTGGGTGCCTAGGAGCTGTATTTAATTCATGCACCACGAGATGTCAGGACTGCTTTGTGCAACAGCAGAGCTGACGCCACAAGCAGGAAAAGCGACTTCACATTGAGGCATGAGCAGGCAGCCAAGTCATTTTGGCACACACTTGGCTGTTATTTGATAATTTGCTCTTCCCAGAACAGCAGGGCGGTCCAGTTGTTTCTAAAACAATCTCATCTCTGATTGTGCCTTATCTTTCTAAATTAATTACTTAAACTGATCGAAGAACTACACAAAAGAATGTTCTAATGTTCTAGCAGTACTAATGTTGTCATGGGAATTATTTTTTACATTCTTGAAGCTCACAGAATTTTGGTCACATGTTACAATTATTGTTGCTCTATCAGCCAAAATGAACTGCCTCTTTGCCAGCCAATATCATCTTCCAATCGCTTTGTTTCCCTCCTTTACTATCCAGGAATTACTTAGGTGACCAAAGCTTGTGGAGCACCTGTGTGTCGCCTGCAGACATTGTGCCCTGGCACCTGACCCTTTTTGCTTTGCTATTGGTGATGAGTGGGATCCAGGCAGTGCTCTGCGGCATTCAGGTTGTGAACGGACTCTTTGGAACGATCTGTGGGGACTGCAGATGCTGTGGATGCTGTGGGGTGAGCACCGATTGACTTCTCTTCTGGTTTTGTGTACTGACAATTGCTGCAGACGCACTCAATGGGCCAGTCTGAAAAGCTGAAGCAGCGTTTGTTCAGCACTACGATCATATTTTCTAAAACCTCAGTGCTGTCAGGTGCCCAAACAATCACTTCAGCCCTTATTTGTGGGGTTATCCAACAGCTCCCTAAAGCCCCTGGACATCGTAAAATCCCGTTGAAGTCACACGAATAGGAGCCACTGAATAACCTCTGTGATTTCCTTCTTCCAGGGTAACGGGCCTGTCTAAAGAACATCAGCGGTGCAAAAAAACCCTCCTCACCTCTTGGAACCATTTGGGAAAGGTTTCAGCAGCACCGCCTCTGCTAGGAAGATCAGAATGAAGGGCACTTCCCTACACCATAGGAGTGAAGCCCTGACTTCTCTCCAGGCACCCATGTGCTTGAAACCCCTCCTCATGGAATAAAATTAGCAAAAGTCAAATATCATAGTCATATTTATTTTTGTAAAACAGATTCCATATAGAATTTTGCCTGAGAATTCTCTTTTTAATGTTAATAGCTTTCTAAATGTAGATCACCAAACAGTGCTGATAAAAGTTCAGTTGTTATGAAATTTTATCTGATTTCTTCTGAAGTTTAGCAAATGGGAATATCATAAACAAGTGAAACTTCTTTTGAGGATATGTTTATGTGTGCAGAAAAGCAAGGACTTCTTTCTCCCAGGTCTGCTATCTATAAAATAGAGACTGTAACAGAAAAGATTTGTGGATCTCAATGTTTCTTTTCTTAATGGAGAAATAGGCATATTTAGCAGCACTGCTATGCAAGAAGCACACAGTCAAAGCAACGGGCTGAAGAACAACAAACTGCTGCCAACAGTCTGCAGCATCATGAGTCAGCCTGGACTCCACCACAGCCAGCTTCAGGAACTCAGTGAGAAAAGCCAACGCACAGCTTTTAGCAGCTTCCCCCACGACACTCGGAGAAGGGAGGGGCAGAGCAGCACGGCGCTCCTGCCACAGTCGCACTGTGCTTGCAATTTACTTTCTTCTTTTTAGGAAAAAAAAAAAATCTTTTAAAGAGATAAAACCATTTCCCAGAGAAATCAAGAAGGAAATAGAGATTGAAAGAGAAGGCTGAGGGATACAAACCACCTTCACCCTTCTTACAAAAGATGCAAAATCTTCATAACCCTGCTTGCCAGATTGGCTCTCTGGGGATTTCTACTTCCCCAAAGCACTGACCACATCTTTTTCCTCAAAATTTCCCTGAGACAGCGATTCAGTGCCCTGTTTTCTCAAAAGTGTATCTCATGCATTCTGTGTCTAAAATATATAAAGAACTTTGAGGATTTAAAAGCAGTAAAAGCTGGTAAGCATTATGCAAAAAACGCTGAATAGCCATGCATACACACACACACATAGAGTTAAATTAATACAAGCAAAGGGGTGTAATGATACTTTGTGCAAGATGATAAATGATGAAAGAGCTCTTCAGGAACAGCTGTCTCTCCCATCTGTTACCCTGCATTGGTCCAGAATTTGAGAGCACCCTTTATATCCTCACCCACTGACACAACCATTTTACATCTATTCTTTCATCTGTGGTTCGCAGCTGTCCTGCACCCCATCTTGCATTTGTCTTGTTTTATTTATATAAAGCCTTTGGGAATATGGAATGTTTCTCTTCAGCATTCAACAAATGGATGCACAGCTACATGGTGTACGACTCAGATTTATTAATAAACCAAACGTGTAAATCTGTGGGGGAGTTGGGATAAGAAATCAGGAAGCTACAACACCTAAACAAAAATACTGGGTGCTTCATGAGCCAATGATTCCAAGATGCCCGAGAGCGGTTTCCTAACAACAGCTGATAAGTCAGTATTGAGATAAGGCACACACATCTTATTTTGTGATACAGCCCTGGGGCGTACTAAACAATTCCAAAGGATTTACACTGATGTGTCAGCAGCACTGCTCCTAAGCCCCCTAAACGTTAGAATTTGAGGCAAGACAGAAACCAAAACTAAAGACGACTGCAGGTAAAGCAGAGCTCAGCAGTCCTGACCACCTTAGACAGCATGCTCAGTTCCAGCTGAACATGAGACTCTTTGCAAAGAAATTCCGGGAGCTTACAGGAAAACATCGGGATTGTTCGTAACATCTCAACGTGAACGCGTTGTTTAAAACTTCATTACGTGCTCAGTGACTGCTGACCAGAATGCCACGAGCACAGCCGCCCTGACACTGGGAGGCACTTCTTCAGCTGAGAGTTTACATAAAAGAAACACAAAGGTTATTTAACGACTCAGATCACAACGTGCTGACTGCGTGTGCGTGCTTTGAGACCGCGTTTAGACGCAGGTCGGACAACACCGGAGCGCTGCAGAACATTGCTGCCCGCAGCAGCAGGACACGGCAGCCCTGCGGCAGCACCACCTGGCCAGGATCGGCACCTCAGTGCAGCGCTGCGGAAAGTCTGCTTCTACATCTGGGAAATAACACACGTAAGGTTGAAGCCATTTGCGCTTCCTTTAAAGCGTTCGCATCAGCAGAGTGCGAAGGACGATCTCTAACATGGTTTTAATAGGGAGTGTTCACCACACGCCCTCAGTCCCACCGGACGACAGACCGACGGACCACGACGAGGCGACGGCGGCGGAATCCGCGCCCGGGGCTGCGGCGCGGAGACCCCGCAGAGCGGAGCGGATCGGAACTCCGGCGGTGGGGGCGCAGCGCCGCTCCAGCCCCGCGCGGCCGCACACGAGGGAAACGCGGGGAACGCCAGAAGCAACGGAAGCAGCGGAGCGCCCTCCCACCGCGGCCGAGCCCCTCCCTCCGTCCCCCGCCGGCGCTCGTCCCACAGCCGCCTCCTACCTGCCGCCTCCGGGCCGCCCCGTTCCTGAGGAGGGTGGGGGCCGCGTGCTTTGCGCCGCGCGGAGCGTCCTGTGGGTCTCTCAGCCGCGAACGGCTCCTCGAGCCTTCCTCCCGCCTCATTTATCCTCTTCCTCCCTTCTCCTTTGGCAGCGCGAGCTGCGGAGGAGGCAGCCGCGGGTTCCGGAGCGCTTCCCGCCCGATCTCCGCGGGGAGCTCGGAGCTCTGGGGCGTCCCGGCGCTCGGGATGGGGCAGCGCACGCCGCGCAGCTGCAAAGTCGGCATTTGTGTGGGCGCGCGGCGCCGCTCGGGCGCGCGGTTACGCGGCGGAATCCCTGCGCCTCTCCGCGGTTTGCAGAAGTAGAGAAGGCGGTCTCGGTTTTTGCGGACTATTGCGTTCATTTTTAATGATCGCATTTCAAAGAGTTAAAAGATACCTGGGGGAGGAAGGGACGCGTCGCTCACAGCGAATTGGTGACGGTGGAAACTGAAAGCTTGGACGAACAGTAGAAAAAAAGCACGAGGAAGATTTGGGCTGAGGCGCTGCGCTGATAACGGCGGTTTGGGAGCAACCACCCCGCACAGCCCCGCAACGCAGCGTGCGTGAGCGGGCGCGAGCCGCAACGCCGCGCGGCCCGAACGGCCCTTCTGAGCCCGGCAGGGGAAACGGGAGGCCCGACGGAGGCACCGCTGCTTTACGGCGTTGGCCGAGAAGGGCGGACTGCCGGCACGCTTCCTGCTGAGCCTCGCGGCTCCTCGGCGCGCCGCAGTGCCACAAGTTCTTCTCAAAGCGGTTTCAGCCGTCCGCCAGCAGCGCCGCGCCGCGCAGAGCTCGCAGAGCGCCGCGTGCCGACGTGCGGCGGAACCGACCCGGCAGCGCCGAACGGAGCGACCGCCGAAGGCCAAAGGGCCGTGGTTGCCGTCCCCGTGAACGCGCTTCTCCATACGGGGTCATAACGCGGCAGCGCTGCCCGGTGTTACGGTACATTTGCACGCCTCCCCAGGCGCGTGACTGCAGCTCATTGCTAAGCGTAAGGAGAAATGCGATGCCACGCCGCTCGCTACAGCGGCATTCACGGAGTCTCTGTGCTAACACAAAGCTCTGCTATGTTTGCAGCGTAAACTTTACACCGTTCACCTCTTGGCAGATCGCTGCAGCAGTCGCGCTCCCCCCGTGCCGTTACTGCACAGCAGCCGCCGATCCACGGGGAATGTCTTGCACTCGTGGCGTCAGAGTTTCTGCAACAGCCTTTTAAGATTGGAAAAGCCAAGTGCAGTTGATTGGTTTTCATTTCCCACATTTCTGAACATTCAACATCTGCACACGAGTTTAGAACGTCTTCACAATTATTCTCCATGTGCTACGACAGCAAAGACAAACTCGGGACTTTTGGGTTTCTTGCCTCGTTGGTGCAGAATGTGAGAAACTCCTTGGTCCGCATCAGACTGAGAACAACGGACCGCCTCGGTGCTCAGAGCAGAGCCCGCAGTGCTGCCGCTGCTGATCAGGGGCAGCTGTGAGCCGCGCTGTAACGGCTTGCGCCGCTGAGTGACCGAGCAGCAAAGCGGCCCTGGGAGCACTGGAAGCGTTAGAAGCGAAACTGTAATGATCGCTGATGCCCAAAACAACTCATAATGAACTGAGACGTAAACGTAAAATGCTTTTATTTTGCATGGAGCCAATCGCTGAATTAAAAGTGCATGCCTTTTCCACAGAACAGACCTTTACCTTTATTCCAAGCATGGGTCGCTGGGAAGCACAGAGCAAAACCCTCCAAAGGGGGAAAAAAATAAATAAAAAGAACAACAAATATGCATCCAAAACGTTCCACTTAATGTATGTGTTTTTTCATGTACGAGATCAGAGAAAAACATCTTAAAAAGCACAGAATCAAACCCTTGATATAACAGGCTGATCTGTGTGCTTCTGATACACATGGTTTGCTGCAACATACTCTAAATCAAAACCAAATGCTCACGTCATATAAGTCATATATAGAAGTAAATAAAAAAGTTAAAGTGTTAGCACGTACAGGGATGCTGTATAATAGAAAACAAGTTTACCTGAACATCCCTATTTTTCTGCTTAAAACAGACATTTTAATCCTCTCTTTCCACTCCAAAACATTCATTTTCAAACAGGCAAACCCGCCCCCCTCCCCCGTGCCCATGATGTCCTGGCAGTAATCCCATGGCACAAGCTGTAATTTCCATTACTAGGAAGAAAAGCTGACAATGTAAACCATCACTTCTACCTTAACTATGATTTGATTCACAACTGAGTAAAGATCTGACCTAAGATTTTGGTCACGGCTTTACGCTGACAGCAGTGTTTCAGGTAATAGCACCTCTCTGTTCCAACTGTGATTTTATCAATAGGCAGTAATATGGAAACGTAGTTTCAGATTTTTTGCCTTTTTAACTCCTTTGAACCTTGACACACAACCACCCGAAACACAGCTGACAGAGCAAGCTGCTCTTAAGCTAATTCTGCGTAACATCAGACTGCACCAGAAAATGGTATCAGTTCTCATTGCGAGAGCTGCCCCCTCCAGCTGATGAAAACCAGTGCAGCCAAACAGCACCGGCTGCCTACTCTGCATCA